ATTGATAGGAAAATAAGAGAAAAGCCTAACACAACTAAAATATTACTAATATCAATAATAATAATAATAATAATAATAATAATAATGTTAATAGAAGTCGGGTCCTCCAAAAATCGGGTTTCTAACAGTGAGGTGAATGGGACTTGGGACTGTAGTAATGGAAACAATGATGTGGGAGAAAGCATTTGCATCATCACCGATGGAAAGTTTACGCTAGCTGGAGCTGCTAGTGTGAGGAGTCCCATTCGGGTTCCCGCAAGGCCGCAACTGGAAGTTCAGTCCAGTAAGCGCAGATAACCATCGAGCCAACTTCGAGATGTTATGTTAGAAACATAGGAAGTCCGTGAAGCTGGCTAAACCTTGAGGAACAAGTCACTTTCAAGCGGAGGAAGTTGTCAGAAACCCAATCTATTGGGGGAACTCGGGCTTACTATTATAATTATTTATTTATAGAGTTATTAGTATTTGAAGCATATTAAAATATTTGTTATGTTTTTCTAATCTTTTACTATAAATATGTATGTGAGCATACATTTCAGGCACATAAAGATTAATCAGAAAGTTATCTCCTAAAATCCTAATCTCATTCTCCCTCAATCCCATATATTTTCTTTTCTCTATATGCCTCTATCGTTCTATTATTTTCTTCACAACTATTATGTTCTTTAATCCCTAAACTCCAAATATTTTTTAATCCCTAATTTTTATCTAAATCCCTTTCTAATCTATCTAGTTACGTCAATCCTCAGTTACTTGGAGAAGCGGGTTTCTTACCGTCTTTCAAAGCAAATCCCCTTGGCCGCCGACAACTTGTGAAGCAGCTACTCGGGATTCTATGCAATGGTCAACTTGTCATTTAAAAGAGACCCAACACTTTCCTAGTCCTCAACAAAGGGGGTTCCGTCCTCAAATATCTCCATCTCCTAGTAATCCTCTATGGCGATTCAATATGATGGGTCTTTCATAAATGACTCCTAGGTGTCGACCTATGGTGTGGTGGTCATTAACAACCATGGATAAGTGAGCGACAAATGTGTTGGAACCGTCCTTTGTTCCTCTTCAATAGAGGTTGAACTGAAAGCAGTATTAGAAGCTCTCAAATTAGGTTAAGAATCTGGGTCGCCGTGTACGACCTATTCGAATTGTCAAGTTCTTATCCAAGCTCTTATTTGACACATTTTAGTGGCATTGGCTGGCTGCCGCATGGATGAGTACAATGATAGCTATTTTTGGACAAACCACACATATCAAGGTGGAAGTTGTTTCACACTCTTTTATCTCTCGTGCATATTGGGTAGCACGTTCACTTGTCAAATCTTCGCTATCGAATAATTTACTCAATATTCTTTATCTCATTTCAAAAAATTTTCCTAATTAATAGAATGAAGTAATTTAATATAAAAAAGGTTTTCCAACCCACATTTGGCCAGTAACGGAAGCAATTTCACATGGAGCCATGGATCTAGCAGGACCTCACTTTCCAGAATTGACAGGGTGCTAATATCACAAGGTTTTGATCTGTTGTATCCGGAGTGCACGTTGACAGCAATGGAAAGGGTTGAATCAGACCATAATCTATTGGTTCTAAAGTGGGGTGAGAATAAGATTATTAAAAGGCCATGGAAATTTCAAAACATGTGGCTGGAGGATACTAGGTTCTATCAAGAATTCAGCAGCTAGTTTGGAGTGAGTGTGAAAGGAGTGGGAGTTGTGTTTGTGCTCGCTAGAAAGCTTCATCATGTTAAAGCCAGGGTGAAGGTGTGTAATAACGAGGTTTTCGGTAATATTGATATGAAGGTTGAGGAGTTGCTTAGGCAGATCAAGGAAATTGACAGGGTAGAGGAAGGGAGGAGTCTTCAGGATGTGGAGAAGGAGGAAAGAACAAGGTTAGAATTGGAGCTAAGTAAGGCTGTTTTTCTTCAAGAGATTTGTTGGCGGCAAAAATCGCGTGAAGTATGGGTTAAATTGGGGGACAAAAACACCGGGTATTCTCATAGGATGGCGAATTATAGGCGGAAGGTTAATCGGGTGGACAGAATAAGAATAGAGGGTCAGATGGTTGAAGGTAAGGAAGAGGTTACTGCGAGGATCGTACACTTCTATCAAGATCTTTTTAGAGAAAGGATGACTCAAAGGCAATTTCCAAACTGGAATTGGGAGCAGCAACTTGATGATGGTGAACGAGCTCTTTTGTGTCGTCCTTTTTCTGAAGAGGAAATATGGACAGGAATTAAGGAATGCGATGGTAGCAAAGCGCCAGGCCCCGATGGTTTCACCATGGAGTTTTTCAAGCGTTGTTAGGTTTGGATGAAAGCTGATATAATGAAAGCCTTCCAAGAATTCCATGGTTCTGGGAATCTACCTAGAAGTGTTACTCACTCTTTTGTGTGTCTAGCGCCTAAGAAGGGTATAGTTGAGGAGATCAAAGATCTATGGCCGATAAATCTGATTGGTAGCATAAACAAACTTATCGACAAAGTTTTGGCTAAGAGACTGGGGAGAGTGCTCCCTAAACTGATATCACAGCATCAACACTCGTCGGTACAAGGGAGACAAATTGCTGAGGCCGGTTTGCTGGCAAATGAGTTGGTTGATAGTAGGAGGAAGAGCAGGAAATCGGGCCTTATCTTCAAACTCGACATTGAAAAAGCGTTTGATAATGAAAATTGGGAATGCTTGTTGAAGATAATGGGATCGATGGGTTTTCCGGAGGCGTGGGGAAGATGGATAAGGTGGTCTATGTTTTCATTGAACATTTCTATTCTCGTGAACGGTGAGGCCACTGGGTTTTTCTCGGTATCTAAAGGTCTCCGTTAAGGAGATCCAATTTCTCTCGGGCTCTTTGTGATGGTGACGGAGGTTCTGTCTAGGAGGCTAAAGGTGGTTAGAGATGATGGAAGATTTGAAGGGTTCTATATGGATGAGGGTAGGAAGCAAGGTGAAGTTACTCACCTGTTGTATGCTGATGACACACTAATATTCTGTGATGCAGATTATAAACAGGTTCTGAACATCATTGCTACTCTTGTGAACTTCCAAACGGTGACAGGGCTTAGGATTAATCTTGATAAGTCGGTAATGTACACTGTTGGTGATGTGACTGATCCGAGTTTTTTTGCTGCAATTTTTGGTTGCAAATGGAGTAGGGAACCCCCGAAGTACCTGGGATTTCCATTGGGGGCTAAACCGAATGACACCTCGATTTGGGATGATATGGTGGACAGGTATCAGAAAAGGTTGAGTGGGTGAGGAAGCAGGAACTTGTCATATGGAGCTAGGTTAGTGTTGATAAAGTGGGTTCTGTCTAGCACACCAGAATATATGTTCTCGTCGTTCAAGGCCCCGATTTCGGTGGTGAAATAGTTGGAGAAGTATCAAATGAGGTTTTTGTGGGGTGCGAAGGCAGAGAGACACAAAATGGCATTTGTGGATTGAAAAGTTTGTAAAGCAGCAATAAATGAGGGGTTTCTTGGTATTCATGACTTGAAGATGTTCAATGACGCGATCTTATCTAAGTGGTTGTGGAAGTTTGTTGTTGAGAGGGAAAGTTGGTGGCGGGAATTGATCGATTGCAAATACCTAAACCAGGTATCTCGATGGCAGACTAGGCGTGCTAGAGGAGGTTTTTCCAGATCGGTGTGGGCAAATATCAGTAAGGAATATGATCAATTCTGGAAATTCGCCTGCATTGACCCGAGAAACGGGACTCAAACTTTGTTCTGGCATGATTACTGGATCCCATGTATCGTGCTTGCTGCCTCGTTCCCTCGTATCGTTGCTGCTGTTTCTGACCCCGAAGCTCTGCTATCCGACACTGTGAGTATAAATGGTGAGAGGGTGAGCTGGAATTTCAATTTTAAATATTCTTTGAGGGGTGGGGTGGAGAGGGAAAGGAGGGATTTATTTACTCTTTTGAATTCCATTGAGCTGCCTTGCAATTCTTTTAGTCCGTGCAGGATCATGTGGAAACCAGAGGCTGATTCAAAGTTCTCGGTGAGGTCGATGTATAGGCAGCTGGCTATGAATGTTTTCAGAGGATTTCAAGATTTCCCTGTGGAGAAAATATGGAAGACTATGATACCCAGCAAAGTTTGCTTCCTTCTTTGGCTGGTGTACCATAATAGAATTCTTTCACTAGACAACCTGAAAAAAAGAGGGATATGTCTTGCTAACAGATGCAGCCTATGTTTGAAGAAGGAAGAAACTGCAGTTCATATTTTTGTGGAATGTGAATATGTGAGGAACGTTTGGAGGGCAGTATACTGCAGAAGGCGGATAATACCAAGAATTGTTGGAGATATTAGGAGTAGTATAACAAGTTGCCCAGGTACAGGAGGAGATGGGATTGAAATGTGGTTTGATGAATGCTCCCTTCATGCGCTGTGGTGGGCTTTGTGGCTGGAAAGGAATCGAAGAGTGTTCGAGGATAGGGCACTGACACCTATGGTGGTTGGAAAGAAGGTGGCGAAGAATGTCATGGAATGGATTGTGGCTACTGGTAAAGTACAGGTGGGGGAAGGTTTAAATTGGCTGGCTGTGACGGGATGGAGATCATAATGAGTGTTTGGGGGGAATAGGGAGATGTGGGGATTTCTTGTTATCGACGTAGGATGGGAAGAGTCAGTTTGGAGATTGGTGTGGACAACAAGAGAATTGATACGTGCATTCTCTTGTTTAACACTGTGTGATTCGGATGTGGGGTGGAGTTTGGTTTCTTTGTGTGTTTGTTAGGAAGGGGGACAGAGTGCTATTGATCTTGTGTGTTGGTGTCGGGAGGTTCTCGTCTCCTTTTTTTATTATAGATTAATTTGCTTTTGTAGGATCGCTTCACGCCGGGCGACGTCGGATCAATACTTTTGATCCTTGTAACTTGATTTTCCTGTTATTTCAATAAAGTCATTGCCATTATAAAAATAATAATAATAATAAAGGGAAGCTTCTCTTTGTAGGTTTGAAGTTTGAACTAGATTTGAGAAAGGAGTAGTTGAAATTATTTGTCTTTCAAGACAAAAAATTTACTGAAGAAAGATTATTGAAAGAAGAATATACAACTGTTAGAAACTTATCCTCTACTCTTTCGCCTGCTCTAATAAATACAATTTTCTTTTCCTTCAAGTACCCAACTGAACTGAGCACCCATCTGCTTTTTTTTTCTTCTCTTTTCTATGACAAAGATGATGATGAAGAAACTAGGATCAAGATCAAAATAAAAAGTACCAAATATGGTTGGGCGTTAGGCACCAAAAAAGATCTGGACTTTCGCAATGCTGCGCCTTCCTCAAGCTGCTGCCTTGCTAACTGCATTCTTCCTGCGCGCCATCGATGCCCTGCCCCTGCTATCGCTCTCGGAGCAAAAACATGAAGAAATGGCCTACAAATCTCTATACAAGTACTGGGTTCGACCGCGATGGTGTGACAGGTATCCCCCGGTGCAGATGTGGATGTTGGATTACTACCACGATCGAGTCCATCTGGCTCTTTTTCTTACCACAAGACTGAGATGTTGGCTGCACAAAATATGCAGTCAGTAGTAAGCACAAAGGAGCTTAGATATCTATCTAAGGCATGTCTGGGTTTTGTTTGAGTTTCAACTTGGCCAAGCTTTTTCCTTGTAAGTTGGTATCAGCCAACTACAAAGTTCTGCAACCCGACCAAGGGTTGAGACGAAAAAGCAAGCTTCCGGAGGGAGCTCTTGCACTAACTTTAGACAGTTACAGGAAATCCAGTTAACATACCACACCGATGTGCCATTCGCGAGAACTAAACTCCTTGAAAGTTGCAGCGTCCATTTCCTGCAATAACAAGAGTAAATAAATGCCTTATGAGAATCTGTGTTCACCAGGCAGAAAAGGCAAATGAATAGTCTAGCTTTCACTTTTCAGTCTTCACGCTGTATATGAAAGAGAAGGTCAATAATAAGAAAGGAACACTCACGATACTGTAAATGGGAGGCACCATTCTTTCTCCTTTTGTTTTTACAGCCGGCATCACAGAGAAACGTGGTACCAAGTCTTGAGATCTGAAAGTCCATCTGCATGTAGCATAGAGTCCAACCATCAAGAACTAACTATTCCCACTAAATTCATTTGGTTTTATCAGGAAGTTTAGAGTGAGGGAAACCATACCCTATGAACGAAAAGATGCAGAACTGTGCCCACTCTCTAACTAAGAGACGCAGCCAGTAATGATCTGGTGAATTGTCCACGTTGATGAAGATCTAAAAGATGATACAGACAGTTAGTTCGGTACTTATTTTCCGGCTAATAACGACGACAAAACATTTCATAAAGAAAACATTAGCAATGTCATACCATGGCTTCTACAACTGCCACTATCTGCATTGCACTCCGGAACTTCCTGAAAAGAGAGAAGAGGCATGTTAGTATTAACCTATAGCACCCTATTTCCAGCGAAAATTTAGAATAAAAATAGTGGCCACGGCTCAAATCAGCACAGGACTTACTTGAACATGAGAAACTTCATATAAACTGCATCATGCATTCCTTGCACATCCTCATCCTCAATAAAACTCAATTGTTCTTGTAGTAACAACAAATTTTGCGATATGAGGTAGAAGATCAGATAGAATGAGACCACGTAGTTCAGCAGAAGTAAAATCTGCACACAGAGAGAGTCCAACCGGAAGAGAACAACTTAGACCAAAAAATGCAGAGGAGAATAGTTTGAAAATGAAACGCTTGCTATGAAATGCTCACTGTGAAGTAGGGCACAGAAGCTCTGTAACCGACGAGAGTCATGTAGAAGACACAAGCAAGTGCAGCTGTGGTGCGCCTTTCAGTTACCGAGAGGCGCTCACACATGATGCAGTAACCGTGAGAGATTAGCAGGAATGACACGAAAGAAGCGGTCTGGAAAAGCACTCCGGTTATGTACACCCCGAACGACATCCATAGCGAGCATATCTGAGAATAAAAGCACGAATACCTACAACCAAGAAACATTCCTTCTTTCTTTCATAATCTAGAAAAGATTTTCACAAGGACACTGTAAAAACAGCAAGAAGAATGCAAGTAGTGAGCAGCTAATCAGCTTGCATATCATTTTTAGTAATAAGTTCCTCTATGTTTTGCAGTAAGGGAACAATTTCCAAGCTTCTTACTAGTTTCTGAACCTCAAAACTGTCACTATACATTGAGCAATCGAGTATATTGGCATCGGCAGTTGAATGTAGGGAGAGGAATCACTAACCAGAAGAGGAATGAAAGGCCCAATTGGAGAGATTTGATCAAAGGGACAGATGCCAATGTCCACTGCAAGTTATTCCTCTGCTCTAGTGGTATAGCAGCACAATAAAAAAACACAGAATCTGTCAATAAGGAAAGCTTTAATTCTAATAATTTCATAGAAAAAATGGATTATCTGAATCATCATCCTTAGAATCATAAGCAAGACCTTCCCCAAGTTCACAATTTTAAAATATCTACCATAATCATATCAACAAACTCCCTGCTAAAAAGGGGGGCAAATTGAAAGAAGCTCGCTTGATCAGCTGAGACTGTTTGGTAGCTCAGGAATTCCAACGAAGGAGAAGAGACAAAAGAACTCCACATCAAAAATTGGAAAAGGTTGGTTTCCAGCTGAACAAGCAAATACCCTTTTTCCCCTGACAAAATTCCGACGTTTTCATCCCAAACAAAATACTTCGGACCAAAATTCAAAGACGGAAAGGTTCTATTCCTCCATTTCTCCTCCTCAAACAAAAACAAAAAACTGAAAAGGAAATGGAATTGCTCAACTGAAAAAGAAAAAAAAAAACTGGAAACAATCGGAGAGGGGGAAGAAAGTGGGAACGACCTGAGAGTGGCGGTTTCTGTAAGTGTTGAGAGTCCAAGAGCAGGCGGAGACAACCCAGATAGAGAGCAGCGCGAGGTACACCGGCGGGAGCCGCTGGTAAGAATCGTTCAGCAACGCCGTCGACTCTGAAGCCGCAGTCATCGGGAACTCCAAGATGAAAAAATGCGGCGATTGAGAGAAAGAGAGAGAGTTGGGAATTTGTGGTGAGAACCCAGGCGGCAGAAACAGCAAAAGAATGCCCTTTTTGTGCTGAGGAAGCGGCGTTGGGTTCGAATTTGCGGAGTTATCTGTGCGTATCTCCCGTCGTCGTGAGATGAAGTTTTCTTTCTTCCTCTGCGCAGTTTGTTTGAGAGAGTTTATATATATTGGCGTTTCGGCCGGTCAGACGGTTTCGTAAATGATGGAGACTGGAGAGAGAGAGAAGGAGATGATACGTGTCAATCATGGGATGCGATAATGGGGAAAACTAATAATGAATTTTGTTTTTACAATAAATTTCGTTTTTACATCAAAGAATAAATACGTGACCGGTGACTCATCTATGTATCAAAAGTTAAAGGCAGTAAATTGCATGATTTGCCCTCCTCTCTCCAATTCCATTCCACGTTATTTCATCATATGATGTAGGCCTTACGTGTGGAGATAAATTAGGATACTTGGTTGTAATTTCATTTCTAAATATTATTATTAGTATGGATTACACTTCTTGTGTATGCACAGCTGGCCCATGATATTTAGAGGTGTTGTTCGATAATTAAAAATATGGCCTTAACATTTTTTTGTAAATTTATTAAATAAAAAATACATAATTTCAAAAAATAATTACAGAAGGAATAATATTATCAATCATTGTTTGCAAAATAAAAATCATTTAGTGTTATTTGAAATAAAATTCTCTATTAGTTATTTCATCTTTGCATCATCTAAGACGTTATCCTCAATTGTCAACATAACTAACTCGTTAAGCCTCAATTAACATAATTAAAATTTTTTACCAAAGATTAATGATTCCACTCGGCAATCAACTAGCATTAATCCCAATTTCCAAGCAAAAATCTTTTAATTTTTTTTGGTTAGAGTGGCTGAGCCACTCAGCCAAAACAAAAAAAAAAATGTAAACAAAAAACAGTTAAAGGTCCATTCGGCCATTCCAATTCGCCGCATGCCCATTCCAATTTTTGTCTTTTGAAAACCATCCTGACGGCCCCATTGCTTCTCCTGTTCTCAACTCCACGATTCCATTAGGCATTCTCCAAGCAATAGCAGAGTATTGTATGGGCCGAGGCCCCAAATAGTTTGGGCCATGTTTGTGGGTCAGGCCAGCATCGGGCATGTGTGTAAGTAAGGCGATGTTGTGACTTGTGACTATGATGTGCGTTCAATTCAATTCCAATGTATTCAAAGTTTTTGCTCTCGGTTGCGAGTTCCTTTCATAATCGCTAGAAATTTTATCTTTGTCCTTAGTTCCAAAAAAATAAAGGCGGATTGACTTGGCGATCGACAGATCCCGCTAATATTCAAGATTCGTGGATGATTTGGCTCTTCGTGATGTAGGCTTCACAGGTTCTCCTTTTACTTGAACTAATAAGAGGAGAAACTTGCATAGGGTGATTGAAGAATAACTGGATCGTGTTTTGATTTAAGAGGAGTGACTAAGAGTGCTTCCTGAAACATTGATTCATCACTTGGCTGGCCGTCAATCAAACTATCGAGCATTTTTATTGGTGATGGCAACATTGAAGAAGTTCTCGAAACCAATATTCATGTTCTATGTCGTATGGGGAGATAGTCACGAAGTGTGGGGCATTGTGTTGAAGGTTTGGGAGATGTCGTTCGAAGGATCTCATATGTTCTGGGTATGGTGTAAACACAAGAGAATTCGGCATTTACTATAGGATTGGAATAAGTAGGGGAAGACTAATTCTGAAGGCAGAGGCTACTGTTGATTGGGAAAGGTTACACAATATGGAAAAAAAAGTTGAATGAAGCTTGGGTTAACGAGGAGATTTACTGGATGTAGAAGTCTCGAATCCAATGATTGCAAGAAGGAGATAGGAATACGACTTATTTTCATAATGCGCCAAAATGCGTCGTAGGAAGAACCAAATATATTGTTTGTTTGATGAGGATGGAACTTGGGTGACTTTTGAGGAAGATAAAGCTTGGGTGGCATGTGACTTTTTCTCTGGATTATTTCAAATTGGATGGATAACTGAGTAGGAGGTAAGAAGTTGGGTGGTCGAACTCCCCATTGACCAGTGGGTCTTCACAATAATGAATGACCGGTTGAGGGCACATGTGATGGATGAGAAGATAAGGCGTATTGTTTTTCATATTGGGTCAATGCAGGCTCCAGGTTTGGATGAGTTTATAAGATTCTTTTTTTAGAAATTTTGGGACATTGTGGATGCAGAGGTGACAATGGCGATTAGTTAGTTTTTTAGTCAAATTCCCTTCTCAAGAAGTGTAATCACACATGGGTGGCATTAATTCCGAATGTGGATATGGTTAAAAATATGAAGCAACTTCGTCCAATTAGCTTTTGCCAGTTTGTGTATAAACTGATTGCTCAAATCTTGGTTGAAAGGGTGACAAGATATTTGTTTTCTATTGCGTCGTCGTGGCAGAATAACTTAATTCATGGTAGGAGAATAGTGGATAACATCCTTATTGGATGAAGTGATGCATTTATATGAAAAAGAAGAGGGTTAGGAAGAAAGGATTTATGGTATTGAAGGTGGATATGGAAAAGACATATGATAGGGTGGAATGACTCATTTTGTTGCTCTACTTGAGGAACTAGGTTTTCAGTGAGCAATGGATATAATGGCTTAGGCTTGTGTGACTTCTCCTACTTTTTCTATTCTTGTGAATGGGAAACCAACATAATATTTCTAGTCTTCGGGTGGGTTCCGACAGGGAGAACTTTTGTCTCCCCTCTTGTTCTCTATATGTACTGAGGGTTTTGCTACGTTGCTTCAACAGGTGTTATAGCTTCATATTCTAACTAGTATGCATATAAGTCCTTGGTATCCGGTTAAATATCATTTGTTCTTTACGGATGATTCGTATTTGTTTTTGCGAGTGTCTAGAAAAAAATGTATTAGTCTACTTGGGGTGCTTAAGAACTATGAGGTTATCGGGAAGAAGTCAAGTTGGCTAAGTTCGTTGTTTGCTTTAGCATAAATGTCACGACGAAAGATGGGCATGCCATGGGAAAGATTTTGGGGGTGGGTGCTATTGGAGTGACATATAAATATCTTAGGCTCCCCTCAATAGTGGGAAAACCAAGATTTTATACATTCTGGTTTGTATAAGATAGAGTCTTAGCTCAATTACAAGGACGGAAACGCCTTTGGTTGTCCTGGGCAGCTAAGGAAGTCCACATTAAAGTAGTGGCAAATGCATTACCGATTCATGTCATGTCATGTCGTGCTTCTTGATTCTATTTTCTTTATGTAGGTCCTTGGATAAACATTTGGAAAGGTTCTGGTGGGGAGTACGAAATGGAGAGTGGTGTATTCACTAGGTAGCATGGAAGTCTATGTGTTTAAGTAAACATGATGAGGGATGTGATTATGACTTTTTGAGGAATTTAACATGGCTCTTCTTACTAAGTTGTACTGAGCTATGAAATTAGTTGGATTCTTTGTTTTCTGGTTCTGTATAAGGTAGGTACTTCCCACTCACTTCCTTTATGGAGGCCCGAGCGGGATCGTTGTCTTCATGGGGTTGGTAAGGGATCTTAAGGGGGTATGAGCTGCTTTTTAAGGGGTTGAGGCAGCATATTGAAACTAGTGAAAGGGTAGATCTGTTGACTGATAATTGGGTACCGTCTTTGCATCCTCATTCGTTGCGCCCTGTCTCGGAATTCCGACAAAAGGTCTCCCTGTCAGAATTCGGGACGTTCAAGACTCATCTACTTCGTTAATTCATCTCGGTTTGGGGAGATGGCGTGTGGAGTCTCTCCCTTAGAATTTTAGGAGAACATGGTTCACACCATCATGGCTATACCATTACCTATTAAGCTAGTTCTATATTTTTTTAGTTAGGATGGGGGGAGACTTTAGGTGTGTATACAGTTAAATTTGGATATCACCTTGCGATGGAGTTTAGAAAGTGTAAGGAGTTACGAGTTAAGTCGAGGTGTAATCATGGGATCAAAAGCTTTAGCTGAAGATCTAGAATGCGCCTCACCCATTAAAACTACATTACTTCCTTTGGCAGCTAGTTTGTAGGGTTTTGCCCATTGGGGAGGCATTGTAGATCCGTGGAGTAGGTGTTGACCATGTTTATCCAATTTTGTGAGAGGGACGTTGAGTCTCTTGAACATCTTTTCTTTAGATGTCGTGAGGCACAAGGTCTGTAGGAAGGAGCAAATTTGATGATGTTCCGAAATGACTTACCGATTGGATAGGGAGGATATGTCTAGTGGTGAGTTGATGGAGGTGGTTGCAATTTTTTTGGAGGATTTGGCGGTCTAGAAATTGGGTGGTCTTTGATTTTACTCAATTTACTTTGCCGATTTTGCTTTTGCAGTTTTGTGCCAAGTGTGTCGTACCAGGATGGTCGTAAGGTGGCCCTTGGGAATAGAGGTTGGTCATCTTTCCTCTTCCCCCGGGTGGGGGGGGGGGGGGGGGAATCTTCTTGTGTAAGGGGGCTACATCCAAGGCTCCTATAGGGCTGGGTTTTGTAGGATGCTTCGGGCTCGGTGTTGGTGGCGGTTGCAACTATGTATGATGTAATATCTGACCCTTTCATGGTGGAGATGTTAGCATTACAGAGATGCAGTTTGTTGGTGCCACGTTCGAGGTCCTCAATCAATGTGATTTATGGGTGATGCCAAGCTACTACTGGACAAGGCCCAAGCTGGTGGAGAGATTGTGCGGTTAAGTAGTGACCTTGAGAGGTTTGATGATGTAGGTCGCCAGTGTATTAGGGTTGGCCATTTGGTGGCATGAAAGGTCCTCTCATTGTTCCCCTCTATGGTGGGGGTTCAATTTCACTTCTTGATTGTTTTCGGTCATGTGACTCTTTTGTATCTAGTTGGTTTCTTGATAATACGAGCGATCTTTTGAAAAAAAAAACTAGTGATCACTTAGTTTTTTTATCAAAGTAATAACTTAATGAATTTGTATTAAATCACTCGCTGATGCAAATTAAATAGTTGAACTTATTAGAATTTACTTCTTTACTCTCAAACATCTAGTCTAATGTGAAGTTAACAAGTTAGATGTTGTTCTATCATCAAGGTAATTAATATGAAAGGATAGACTCATGATAAAATAACATACATATATTGTGAACTAATACTAGAAGTTATGTTTGA